GCGATACCCGCTGTCATCCACACACGGAACAGTTATAGGCTGCTGGCTGGTCCATTGGATCGGCTTTGGGAAGCTCCTTGCTGTAGCTGCAGGCTGCCCGAGGAGCTCGAGGAATTAGACCTGATCTTGGTATTTGGTAACTTGTGATCTTTTTTCCATTTCATGCGCCGGTTCTGGAACCAGATCTTGATCTGGCGCTCGGAGAGGCAGAGGCTGTGCGCGATCTCGACCCTGCGCCTCCGCGTGAGATAGCGGTTGTAGTGAAACTCCTTCTCCAGCTCCAGGACCTGCTGGCGGGTGTACGCGGTGCGCGAGCGCTTGGGCTCCCCGCCGGAGTAATTGGGGTTTACTGAGCACACACAAAGGAGGGAGAAAGAGGAGAAGAAGAAGAATTACTGAGCTGTTCCTCCCGCCCCCCGCCAAAAAGCATCACACGTTCTTTGGGGGTGGGGGAATAGTCAAAAAATACACCACAAACCTTCTAAAAATATACCCAGAGACTATCTCCAAATCTCCACCTCCATCCTCGTTGCTTGACGTATATTCCTGTTTTTATAAGGTCCCCTAGACACATTCTCCATGCCCTCTGCGAGAATGTGCGTGCGTGTATGTGTGCACGCATATGTGTATATATATATAAAAATACACACACCCCTACCTGAGCATCACTCTACTATCCCCAAATCTTTAAAGTTCCCCCTACACTCATACACGCAGACAAACACAGGATTCTTTTCGTTAAATATCACACTGAAAAAAAAAAGAGGGGGGGTGGAATAGTAAAAGTTTACTCAACCCGCCACTTAAATACAAATTACGAAAACATAAAACTTAACTTATGAAGATTCAACAGCCATAAAAAAGTAGCCTGCAAGAAATTGGAGGAGGATGGTAACAGAGACTTCAAAGGCACATGGCCAAGCAGAGCAATAAAAATTTATGGAGGATGTAATTATACCGCTCTGCAAACAGGCGCTCGTAAATCTCCGCGAATGGTTATTTTACAACTGGTGCAATAAGATTTCTACAAGACTTTGAGGTGCTACTTAGTATAAAGCAAAGCCTCTTTAGTTCACTTACCCGTGCTTACATGGACTTTTTTCATCCAGGGATAAACTACCGGCTCTTTGCACGAGGACCTGGCCGGGCTTTGGTTCAGAGAGTTTTGGCTGCAGGAGGGCGGCGGGCTGGGGGTGCCCGGCTCGCAGGGCTGGTTTGGCTCAGAGAGGTGGCTCTGCAGTCCGGCCGGAGGATGGACATGACCCCGGGGGGATAAGACCGCTGCTTGGTGGCCGGAGCTCGGACAGGACGAGTAGAGCTGCTCGTTGCACGCTGACCGCGGCTCGTACATCGCTTCATGTTGGAAAGTGCCCTCTCGCCTCTGGCTGCTGTAATATTCCGGCGAGTGATTGGGAAGGTAATCGCTGTGGGAATACTCTTCACAGGGTGGGAACTTGGGGTCCACATAGTTGGAGTTGATCAAAAAGGAGCTCATGGCCATTAATTTCTTAGAATTGCACACACGAAAAAAAATATATACCCTAAAATTTATTCCTGTCCCCCCCTTTACTCGTTTTCCTGTTTCGTGAAACCCTCCTACTTACTGTCAAGTGAACAAAGTTGGAGTCCATGTGACAGCACGGGCCAATGACGAGGTGGCCTGCGATCCCCGGATAAGGAAATCTGCCCGGCACGGGCTCTCCCGGCTCCCCGAGCATCCCCGGGGAGGCGGCCGGGGGCGCCCGCTCCCCTCCGGCCGCCCCGGGCCGCCAGGAGGAAAAGGCGGGGGGTGGAATAAAAAAGGACAACAAAAAAATATATATTTTAAAGTGCTACGGGGCTACGGATCAGACTCGCTACCCCCGCATGTGGTCCATAGCGGTCCCTCCGGGTGGTGGCTGCGCCCCAGTGCCGGCTAAGGTGATACGAGCGGGAACAGCGCGCCCCGAGCCTGGCAGAGATGGATAGGGCTTCTTTGGGATCGATAGGGAATTCAGCAGCTAATTCGGGGTGCCCGCTCTCCTAAATCACATTCGGCTGCGCCTTTAGATGGGCTCCTTCCCACGCGCGGAGGGCAAGAGAGCGCGTCCTCCGAGTGGGGAATCAAGGGCTCGATGAGCAATTACCGAGAATTAAGCGAAGTCCTGATGCAGCTTCGGCTCGCCCGTAATAAAGACGCTTTAAAAGCCACAGCAAAGGGACAATCTTTCTGAAAGCACCCGAAATGCTCCGATTGGCGCTAAAATCCGAAAGGCGCAAAAATCGCTCCCCAGTCCCGTTTTTGCTCGGTGTCACTGCCGCGGTGGCACAAACCGCAGCCATGGGGGGACCCCCGTCCCTCCGCGCAGCGCTGCTGCCCGCCCCCCGTGTGAGCAGCTCTGATTTTATCTCCAAGTGATGATAAACTTTATCACGGGAGAGCTCGAGTTAGGTTAAGGTCAAATCCAAAGGATTTCTTTTCAGCTACAAAGAGGCTTTCTGTAAGACCTTGTTTTCATCCTTTTATTTAGGGATTTTGATGTGATGGGGTGTAGGTTTTTTTATTTTTTATTTATTTTTATTTTTCATTTTTTGGGGGGTGGGAGGGGGTGTTGGTTTTGCCTTCCCGGATTGTGACCTGTAGTGTTTGTGTCAACTACATATTCCCCTAGATACGAATTTGTGACCCAACTTCCTTTACACAAATTCGGATCTACAGGGTACATATAGAAGACAGATGCATCCTCCTTGGTCAGAGATCTTCTACTTTTCCTACTGCCAAAATTATCTTCCAGGGAGAGGGGATGGGAGAGCCTTAAAGTTTGTAACTAAAGAGATTGAGATTTAATCTATAGATAAAGAGGGTTAAAAGATTTTCAGAAGAAACACAATTAAAGCACCCGCTCAAAAACCGAATGATTTATAATCTTGCTTAGAAAAAAGAAAAATAGTATTTTTCTACCTTCATACCTTATGCATTAGATTAGTAATATTATATATGTATAAAAAGCGTCTCCTGGACTGGATATATTAATATAGACATAGACAACGAGAGCAGAATCCGAATAATGGTGTTTTAAAAGTAAAATGCGACGCTGCGCCTGCCTCGGCCGTGATACCTTCCTAGTTATTCTCTAATGCAGCACAGATATTTCATCCATTTTTCGTTCATGGAGGTCAACCAAGGTTTTAGTTTATACGTGCGTGTGCGGGTAAATTATACATATAAAGAAAGAAAGAAACAGATGAAAAGAAATACAGAATGTAAAGGCAGATGGGACGACAGTTTTTTTTTTAATGACAGGCAATTCTTTTTACAACCCGAGAAAAAGATCAAAGGCTTTTCATTTCCGAAAAAAAAGGGATATAAAACAATAAAATATTCATACTGTCTAGGTAATGAACCTTCATTCGGAACTAATGAGAGTAGCATCACGTTGAGATTTCGTTTAAAATTACAGTTGCCAAAGACATTAAAAGTAGAACATCCTCCCCTAATTTCGGTTTTGTGTATTTCAAAAGAAACAACATGTTTTTGGTCAAGTATTTCCCGATTTTATCGTTATTTCAATGTCACAGTAGAGAGACTACCCAAAAAAGTAAAAGGAAACAAGAAATGCTGATTTACTTTGCAGTAAAATTTTGAGTGCGGATGCTTTTTCCCCTGCCTTTATGATAAATATCTCAGATAAATAATTTAGAAATGCCTGTAATTTTCCTATTAGAGGGGAGAAAATAGTTACGGCCACGACCGAGTGACTGAGTGTCCCGGAGCGCTTGGCCTGTGACTCTCTGTGCCCTGAGATTTTTTTTTTTTTAATAAACTTTGCAGCGATCGGGCGCTTTTCCTGATAAAAGCGCCTGCTCTCCGGCTGAGCACATAAACGGCCGCGTATTTTCCGCGATAAGCGCAGGGCCACCCCGGGCCACCCCGCGCACCCTCCGCGCGCGCAAGGGCAGGTTTGGGCCGCAGGGCCGCGGCTGCAGCGCTGGGGAGCAGAGAGCGAAGCTCCGACTTCCCTTCCCCTGTAAAACTTGCCATAAAAATAAGAAGCCAAATCAAATCTGCTTGTACAAAGCGTCGATGGAAGCCATAAAATAATTCTATAGAACCGATCCCATTAGAGTCTTTTTTTCTCTCTCTCTTAAATTTTATTCCTCCTTTCCAATTCCACTCTGATTTATTTTATTTTTGTATTTCCTTTCGTCCCTCACCGTAGAGATCTGCTAAACTAAGCGAGTGTCATGAAGGTTCCTAGAAACAACTAGGCCTATCCCAGGATTTTTAACCCCCTCCCACGTATAAAAAAAAATATATGTAATTTTAATTTTCCTTTCCAGTGACGGACAAAAGGGATTTGGTGCCAGCAAACCAGCAGCCCTAGCGCCTACCAGCCCTCTTCCCCTCCCCCCTTCCCCCCCGAAATCCTCCCAGAAATCGCACCCTGCCGCCTGGGATCCCAAATTAAACGGGAAGCGCCCCCCCCACCGCACACCTTGCTGCCTGCGCGCACAAATGCGCCCCGCGCTGCGGAAGTTCCCCGGGGCAGCGCGCGCCGGCGCTTTCGTTT